TAATAAAAGTTATGTTTTATAAATGTTTCCGTTACGTGATTTTATTTATGAACCTTATTTGCTTAAAAGGAAACTCATGAATATGTTTGTTTATATTTTAAAAAATATTTGACTATAACCTTATGAACAATTATATTTTATAAGTACCACTCCGGAAGTCCCATGCCTTGGGGGACTTAAATAACCATTGGCCTCTATTTGACCACTTTGTGGTCCTCTGTCTGTCATGGATCCATTGACCTCTGTTCTGTGCGGACCAAAGTGCTATGCGGAGCTAAGTGTTACACTATTGTAGGAGCCACCTCTAGAATCCGTACGAGCCACCTCTTGAATCCGTACCTCTATTCTGTGCGGACCAAAGTGCTGTGCAGAGCTAAGTGCTACACTATTGTGGGAGCCACTTTTAGAATCCGTACGAGCCACCTCTTGAATCCGTACCTCTGTTCTGACTGTCACTTCTGTGACCTCTGTTCTATTCTGTTCTATACCGTGGTTATGGTCATTTATTTACATAATATCAGTTTTGCTACTTAAATGATTATTTGTTTCAACTGAGTTATCTTAAATGTTTTGACTTAACTAACTATCCATGATTATTTCGTGGCTCGTACTCTTTAAAATATAATATTTCTCACTCTGCCATGTGCTTATAGTTGTTTACCAATTTTTAGGAAACAATGCAATTCAGAAATAGCTTTTGGAAAGTTTTAGACGCAGGGCTGCGGAATAGACACACACAACACATTTATGATATTTTTATATGTAAATATCGGCCTTTTTGATCAATACATTTTGTAATAAAAATAGAAACTCTGATGATTATTTTGGTATCCCCATTTAAATATTACGTCCGCTTGCGTTTATTAATTTATTTAAGAATCGGTCGGAGGTAATTTCAGTTACTAGTCATTACGATGCTTAACCCTTGGGTACGGGGAGCGGGTCGTGACACATTTTATCATTTTTTAGGCAACAAAATGCAGAGAGAGAGAGGGAAGAAGAGATTGAGTTCAACTAGGAGAATTCTTGGAGAATCAAACTTGAGCCCTTTGAATTCACACCTCAAGTATGAACAGTTCCCTTAAATTTTGGAAGTAAGGTACAAGGAAGTGAATTCATGAGTCATGTAAGGATATTTACATGAAATTGAAGAGAATAAGGTAGAATTATGTCAATATAGAAGAAGTGAGCTAATTGTATACATGTATGTATAATTCATGGATTTTGAGTTTTGATTTCAACAAATTCTTACATGCAAGAGCCTATTTTTGTTAAATTATGAGAGCTCATTGTGGTTTTGCACCTTAACACTTTATTTGTATATGTTTGGGAAAATTTGAGTTCATGATAACACATGCATGTTATGTTCACATCATGTTCTTACATTTCAAGTTGAATTTTGCACAATTGACATACTGTTGGGCTTTGATTTCATGAAATGATCTTTGATTCTCAATGTTTTTCAAGTTTAGACAAGTTTTCATGAGTTTTGGCTCAAAAGAACATGATTTTGTGGTTTTGAATTTGAGTTTTGAAGCTTAAAGGTAGTTTTGGAAATTCCAGAATTCGCACTGTTCACTCAAGCGTAAAAATCGAGCTCCCAGAAGTTTTACAAAATTTTACAGGTCGCTCGAACAAGGACCTTTTTACTTAGTCTTTTGCTCGAGCAATCGTTGAGCAAGAATTTTACGCAATCAGTACTTTTGCCAAGTTTGTAGACCGCTCGAGTGACGGAAGTTACGTTCGAGCGACCACCCTTATTTTTGAACCCCCGGTCGAGTGAAGGAAGTTACGCTCGAGCAGAGACCTGTTTTCAGCAACTTTTGACTAACTCTTTTAAGTGTATATTTGCATCTTCTTGCCATTCCAAGTGTTCTTAGGCACCATTTGGACTCACATAGTCATGAAATAAGGCAGAAACACATAAAGAGAAAATTGAACTAAAATGAAATGGTGCTTCAATTGTACTTTTGTTATGTGTTTTGTTTAGGTAGACGTCCGAGACTTAGTGACAACACAAACCACTGTGAGTAATAATTCTGTAAAGTTATGTTTGACTTTAATTATCTTCAGATGATATGAATGATCAGTTTTCTGAAATATTACGTTTTATATAAATAAATGATTGTCCAAGTTTCTGAAACGTGTTCGTGGCATTTTTAGCATCATATGATATGCGTATCTTTATGGGTCATTAGAAACGTCTCTGTGTGCATGAGTCATCGGAATGCCTTTGTGGCCGTCTCTTTATGGGTCATCAGAAACGTCTCTGTGTACGTGAGTCATCAGAATGCCTTATGATTGTCCTTTTATGGGTCATCGAAATGTCTTCACGACTGTCCCCTCGTGAGTCATTGGATTTGCTAACGCTAATGGATGTGCCACGCATTATAATGTGTATTGTATGAACTTTGATTACGAATATGAACATGTATAAGAATCTGTTTTTAATTTGAAATTTGAATATGCATTAGACTCTGTAACTTTATAAACATCATTCATTAAAATCTTTACTCTATTATTATTTACTAGGCTCTAACTTACTATTTCTATTATGTATGTAGGTGATTTGGCGCATGACTATGCCCAGAGTTGATGGCCTAAGATTCCGTTTTGTTAGCCAGCCTTTGTGTCTCCCGAGGAGGTTCCGGATTAAGTCAAGTCTAGTGGTTGTATTTTTATGAATGTATAAGACTTTGTTTCTTTTGACTTACGGAAAAGTTTTATGTTTATATATACATGGAGTGACGTGTAAGTACTGTATCTTTTGATATTACTCTAAAAGTTCAAGATTATCTATCCCATGTATGTTCTCACAGCTCGATAGACTATGTATATTTTATGTATTTGCTTCCGCAGCCCCTAATTATATGTTATATTGTTATGAGGCCTTTGGTAATCCAAGGATTACTGGTCGGTTACGACGCTAAACCTGCAAGTTTGGATCGTGATAATTTAAAATATAAAATATTTACCCTAAAAAAATTAATCTAAAAAATTTTAAAATTTATAACCAAACAAATTTTTTTTTTTCAAAACTCATAACTCAAAATGCGACTCCACACTCAAATCATGATTCTCAAAATTAATTTTAAAAAATAAAATAATTTTTTTTGATTTTTTTTTTCTTTTAAAATAGAGTTTTTGAAAAAGTTTAGTTTTAAGTTTTGAAAAGAGTTTTGAATTAAGTTTTAAGTTTGTGTTTGATTATGAGTTTTGAAAATAATTTTTGAATTAGGTTTTGAGTAAAACCATGTTCCGAAATTTTTTTTTTTAAGAAACATGTTTGGTTCTCTTTTAGAATCACAATTCCAATTAGAAATTTTCAAAAATCTTTTCAAAACTCATAGAGTCTTAACCAAATACACAACTTAAAATTCAATTCAAAAATTTAATTTTCAAAACTCATAACTAAACACAAACTTAAAAAAAATACAAACTTATGTTAAATATATTTTTTAAATATTAAAAAATTTTAAAAATTTTATTTTTTTATTTTAAATATATAGTTTTTATTTAAAATATTTTATTTTATTTTATAAATATATTTTTAAATATTTTAATTTTTTTGTTATGCGTTTGGTTACGATTTGAGTGTAAAGTTTTGAAAGTAGTGTAGAGTGTTGAGTTATGTGTTTGGTTATGAGGTTTGAAAATAATTTTTGAATTGAGTTTTGAGTTATATGTTTAGTTACGATTTGAGTGTGAAGTTGTGTTTTGTGTTTAAAATATTAAAATTAAAAAAATTAAATTATTTACAAAATAAAACAAAATATTTAAATAAAAATTACATATTTAAAATAAAAAAATAAATTATTTTAAACATTTTTTAATATTTCAAAAAAATAAATCCAAAATTACTATTCCAAACACTATTTGTTTCTTTCAAACCTATCCTCCAATCCAAAAATATTTTTTAATATTTTAAAAGGTAGTGCAATAAGGTAATTTATTATAGAAAAAATAATACAATTTGACAGAAAGAAAAATCTTAATATTGTCAAATAAAATAAGAGAAGTTATTGTAATTATTCAAATTAGAGAAGAAATTTTTATATTTGTCAGAAAGCCCACAAGAGGTAAATGTAATTTACCCTTAAAATTAAAGTGTTAAAACTTAAGGGGTTGTTTAGGGTGTCCTAAATAAGTACATTTTTTATCTTTTTAAACTACAAAATTGAGAAAAAAAATATAGATGTTTGGATTAATTTTTTGACTTTTTATGAAAAAATATATATTAAAAAATTGTATAAATTAGTATGTAAAAAAAAATTAAAATTGTAAATTATACAATCATAATTTTTAAATTTTGATAAATAATAATAATCTTTTAATTTTTAAATAACTTTTTGATATTTTTAACTTTTTCTCGTCTGGCCAAACTTGGTCTTAATTATTGCAAGAACACGGTAAAGTTGGTGTGAAAGTTGAGCATGTTATCATCTTTGGACCAAATTCATCGACGGACGGTACACGAAAAGAGTCAACGTTTCCATGACCAACACAACACCATCTTATAATGGATCAACGGCTATCACCATATCTATCAAACGAAAGCATGCTTTATCCACTGCCACGTGTCTAACAGTTACCCAGTTGTGTATGAGTCAAGAGTCTCTCCTTGCAAGCTTGTGCTTGCGTCTGTCCTTGCAGGCCTTCGGGTCTACTTTTAGGCCCAATTTTGATAATTCGAACCGTTTATATTTTATGATTTATTCAGTATATCATACCTGTAAAAAATCAAGTTGATCAGATATCAGAAAGTATGTGTTTGAAAAATTGAACTAAACACTATTTTTTAAAGAATTTAATAAACAGTTTTCCGAACATATACTTTCTGATATCCGATCAATTTGATTTTTTACAGGTATGATATACTGAATAAATCATAAAATATGAACAGTTCGGATTATCAAAATTGGGCCTAAAAGTAGACCCGAACGCCTGCAAGGACGGGCGCAAGCACGGAAGCACTCGTTGTGTATCTCTGTCACTCTTCTCATTCCACAATCCTAGCTTCTGCAAGAAGAGACCTCTCTCTCTCTCTCTCTCTCTCTCTATAGCGTTGATGTTGCTGTATTCCACTGTAAATGTCAATTTGTAACTAAACCGAAAACGAGACCATATTTGGAACTAGGGTTTGTGTGAAAGATGTATCTCTCGGAGAAGCCTCGTCCAATTGATTTCTACAAAGGAGGAGGAGAGAGAGATATGGTGATCCAAGTCTCCTCCAATGGCGAGCTGCCACCTCATCACCACCATCTCCAACAACAACAACAGCAGCAGCAGCAGCAGATGATTCTGGGCGACAGCAGTGGTGGCGAAGACCACGAAGTGAAAGCACCGAAGAAGAGAGCGGAGACATGGGTTCAGGAAGAGACTCGGAGTCTGATCAGCTTTCGCAGAGAAGTGGATGGGCTTTTCAACACTTCGAAATCGAACAAGCATTTGTGGGATCAGATCTCTGCGAAGATGAGGGAAAAAGGGTTTGATCGATCGGCGACTATGTGTACTGATAAGTGGAGGAACTTGTTGAAGGAATTCAAGAAGGCAAAGCACCAAGATAGGAGCAGTGCTTCCGCTAAAATGTCGTATTACAAGGAGCTTGAGGAGTTGCTTCGAGATAGGAGCAAGAATGGCCCCTACAAGAGCCCCAGCTCTTCGAAAGTCGATTTGTATATTCAATTTTCAGATAAAGGTAATTAATTACTTAAATGTGATGTTTATGGTTTAATTTGTTTTGGGTAAGTATGAATTATGATGTTTGAGACTTTAGAATTGGGAACTATAATTAGAATAAAGTGTATATTGTTGCTTCATAAGCATTTCTGTACTTACTTCTTAGGTTTTTTCGATGGAAAAAGGAAGGGGGGGGGGGGGGGGGACCACCCTCACCCATTTGGGACCTCAAAACCACATTTCTACCACTGAAATTCCTCTGAGTTTCAGTTCTTTGTTGGGTAGTTCTTTTCTTTGTCTTCACTTTCATTTCCATGAATTGCATTAGCTTATGTTTCTTTGGATGGGTAATGCAATACTCTATGCAAGTTATGACATTTGTGTAGTTGATCACCACAAACGTCATAACTCAATCCTATGGGAGTCCTAAAGGAAAAAAAAATTATAACGAAATCGCACATGAGCTATAACCAAAAGCTTTTAGGTCATAACCAAAATAATGTCGTAACCCACATCACAATAATGAGTCATACCTAATCCCACAATGTGTATAACCAAGTTGTAACTAACATCCCAATAGGTCATAACTAAAACAAAGACCTCATCGTAACTAAGGGGCATATGAAGTATGTACCATATATTTTTTCTTCTTGGATGACTCAATTTTTACTATGGCTGAGTAAAGAAACTGAAAATTTTGCAAACCGAATCGGTCTAGACCAATCTGGTAGGTTTGGTTTGTTTTTTAATTCGTGGTTTGGTTTTGGCTTGGAAAATTGGGAAATGGGTCTCTGCAGATTGGTTCCGGATTTAGGTTCATGATTTCGGATTTTTTTTGGGTGAATATGATTTCGGATTTGAACTGAACTGGAGCTAGATATTATGTTTGTTTAAGTTAATGGTAAAATAATGTGCATCTTTATACTTTGAAAGTTAATGTTTGGAAAAATCATGACAGATTAATGTTGAACAATATTTGCTTAATGTTATGTTTTTGCTTAACTGGTCAAAACTATGAGAGTAAGTTGTTTGATGGGCATGTTATTATTAATTTTAAAATTTATGATATGTTGAATTGTTTTTGCAAATGTTATATGGTTTTTCTTGTGAATAGATTATGTAAAACTGTGGTTCCAAAATGAACTGAACTATGTTTAAATGTTTTGGTTTGGATTGGTTCCATGAGTTTAATGGTTTGGTTTGGTTCCAATTTTTATGGAACAATAAACAATGGATTGGTTCTAGTTTCATCCCAAACCAATTCAAATCGGACCATGCTCACTCCTAATTTGTATAGCTATGATTGCATGTAGGATTTAATGATGGAAAAGAAAAGGAAATGAAATTACTTGTTAATCTTTTTGGTTAACTAAACAAACAAATGATTTCTTTTTTGTTTTTTTGAGAAATGCCTATTCATTGTCTTTGACCATCCAAACAGAAGCAAAGAATGTAGCTTCTCTCCTTCATTGTCTTGAACGAAACAAAGCTTTAATGAAGCATATTTTTCACTTCCTGCCATAAATGTCATCGTAACCAAATGGAGGTTTTCACTGTTCCTTGACTATAAACTTATATATCTATGTGTGTTTAATTATGCCTAAATACCTTTTAGGTGACACGATTTCCTGTTTTGACTTTTGCCAATTCTAGCAGCATGAGTTTCATGAGATTTTGTTACTATTACCATACATGTGAAGTTGGTCGTTTATGTTGACATTTCTATTTTTTGCTTTCCGTTATGGAAATATGTTGTGAAAGGATGCTTTCTTTTGTGTTTAAAGATATTACTTACAATTATCTTTATTTGGACCTGTACCTCTCCTACAAAGTCATCATCAGTATTAGTTCTAGTTAATGATTTATTTGGTACTCTTTCTCAGGCCTGGAGGATGGCAATATCCCATTTGGACCAGTAGAAGGTACTTTGCTGCAAATTGATTTATCATTGATTACAGTACATTTGATATGTTTAATTTATTTTTTGTCAAGTTAAGAGTGCAAATCTCATTTATTTTTTTAGCTTCAAAATGATTTTCTTTTCTCCTCCTGGTGAAAAAAAAAACTTTGCAAGGGTATTTAATTTTTTCTCTCTCTTAAACCATTAATAGGCTTAACGGTGCGCTTTAGTTCAAAAACCACATGTGGGTTGTGTGCTTATTTCCAAATGACAAGGCATGTCCACATGCACCAAACCACAAGCTGGTAACATGAAATTTGCCCTTGAGCTAAATTCAAATTGTTTTAGATTTAGTTATATCTGATGCTATGTTTCCCCCTTTGCACTGCACTTTGATGGCTTTGCTCATAATGATCACACAATTTGTCAATTTCTTTGTGTAAATTGGTATTCAACTGGTCAACATCAGTGTCAAGTTTACACCTTGTGTTGTCAAAATGTCTATCTGAATTCAGTTATTTTTTGGGAAACTTCTTATCAGGTACTAACCTTGTGTTTCAAGAGGTTTTCTCCATTTTACTGCTCAATTTGTAGAGTGCATTGCATGCATTAATTTTCAGTTCTGGAGTTAATTGAGATCCAAAATTAAATTTCTCAATATTTGGAGGGAAAAATATGATTTTGATAATGTTTGGTGTTGGGTTTGGGTCCATTAAGTTCATTAGTTCAAATGGTGGCTTCATATACCTTCTGCACAGCTGTAGATCTCTTGACCTTTTTATAAAGCTCATATGCAGTCCCTTTGTCTGAAATACATCAGGAAGCTGATACAGCATACTTGATCTGGGCTAGGAGTCACAAATGACAATGTGTTGTTTGATATATCTTGTTATTGGTGTTTTTCGGAGTCCTTTAAATAATATTATTGTAATTTTATTCTTACTGAACTTGCATAGATTTATTTGATAGAATTTGAGTCCTTTTAAGTTACTACATTAGGTCGGAGCAGTTTTAGAAGACTTTCATATGGTTTGTAGATTTGATTGCTGCAAAACAAATATTAGGCTCTCAAATATGAATGAAATGCAGATTTAAGTATAGATTAGGCTCTCTCTCTCTCTCTCTGTATATATATAATATAATTTAATTGCCTATCTTTATACTATGTAATGAGATAAAAAGAGTCAAAATCATCTCTAGTGTAATTTAATATTATTGAAATATTATTAATATTATTGTAATTTAATTAAATAATATTAAAAAATATTATTGTAATTTAATGCCTATCTTTATACTATGTATTCTTCTCCTCCCAGGGTTTACAATCTTGAATCTCCTCCTAGGGTTTGCCCCTTGCGATTTCAAGCGATAAATTCTCTCTCTGATCTTGAAGTTCATATTTAATTATAATTTTGTTGTGAGAGATTTGAATTTGAATCCATGTGTTCATTTGATTTGAATTTGAATATGAATTTATAATTGTCAAGTCGTGAAATTCAATCTTTGTGCTATGATGTTGAACTTGAGTGATTGCTTCTTCATGAATTTACTTGAGTTATTGTGTCTCCTTTTCTCTATTTCTTTTATTCTTGTTGTTGTTTTGTACACAACAGAATTAAATCTTTTTAAATACAGTGAAGATTGTCCTACATCAACCACACCAAAGGTTGATGATGGCTATGAATATTGAGAACAAGAACTAGTTGACATGTTCTACGTGACTTATCAGTTTGAAAAGATTGGCTTTAACATCATAGTTTCTATAGTAGATATGTCACGTCATTTCCTTGGCAATTTCTAATTCATATGTGAGGTTTCAATTATGTTAGGAGGGACTAGGTATGCCGTGCTATTGGTACATGCCTTTCTATAACTTTTTTCTGGCTTGAATTTTTAAACATGCTTGTGCTCTGTGTTCAGCTGGTGGCCAGTCAACGGTCAACCTCGAAAGACCTTTGGATCATGATGGTGACCCTCTTGCCATTACTGCTGCTGATGCAGTTGCAGCCAGTGGAGTGCCCCCTTGGAACTGGAGAGAAACCCCTGTAAATGGTGTCTATCTAATTCTTTTTTTTGTTCTTCTTCTTTTTTTGATATGTAGAAACGGTATCTGTCAAATTTTGGTGGTGATGTTCAATCATTTTACATTTTCTGGCAAAGTATGTTTGAAAAAAATACTCATTCTTCTTAATGTACATTTTCCGGCAAAGTATCAAATTTTATTTATTTTTTGTTGGGAAAAAGAATGACTTTAGTGGCTAGTGGAAAGTGTTTTTAATAGTTTTATTTAAGGCACATACATTTTGGATTTTTGGGTCACTATTTTTTTGTGGGAAAAAGATTGGCATTGCTTCAAAACTACTGAATGTTTTACAAACCAAATCTATGTGTGTGGTGTGTAAAATATCCGGTAGTTTAGTAAGGGTCCGGTAGCAAAACTGTTTTTTGTGTGCCTTGCAAACATCTAATGGTACACTTTCATTGCTGGAGCTTCTAAGCCTTCACCTGTATGCATAGTGATCATTATGCCTTTGACTTGATTCATCTTCTCACTTAGGGTTGGTTTGAGATGTTCTAAAAAAGTACACTTTTTGACTTATTGGCTTATTTTGGTTGGGTTTGGGTTGGGTTTGATGTGATGTGTTAGAGAGGTGATGTGATTTAAATAAGATGATGTAACTTAAATAGGATAGTGACTTTTTGACTTTTTGTATTATTTAGGTTATGCCAAACTTGGCCTTATTTCAGTTTGAAACATGATGTTTCTTTTTATTTTTTTATTTTCATGGCAGGTGGTGAGGGCCACTCTGCCTATGGTGGGAGGGTCATAACAGTCAAGTGGGGTGAGCACATTAGAAGGATTGGTGTCTTATCACCCTATTGGAAGTCACTTTTTTTTTCTCTCAAATCTCTTATGTTCTCTGTGCTGTATTCTCTATCTCTGTCTGTGTATCTTATTTCTCTTCTTTCTCCTCTGTTCTTATTTCTCCTCTGTGTACCTTAAAGGGGACTTTAAGACTTTAAAGTTTCACAAAGACGCTGAACATGAAAACTTGATGTTGGCCCTAGTCAGTGGCAAATTCCTGAGAGAACTGAATAACAAAAAGAGAAAAAACAATTAAGACAAGCTATTGGAGAAAAAAAGGAAGAAATATATTAAAAAGTAGTAGGTTTTTTTACTAGACTGTACTGTTTCAAATTACTGAAAGCTTTTGTTGTGCCGAGAGTGACTAGAACACTCAACCACACCAAAGGTTGATGATGGCTATGAATATTGAGAACAAGAACTAGATGGTTTGTTTGTAGAAAGGCCTAAGTTGACATGTTCTACGTGACTTATCAGTTTGAAAAGATTGGCTTTAACATCATAGTTTCTATTGTAGATATGTTACGTCATTTCCTTGGCAATTTCTAATTCATATGTGAGGTTTCAATTATGTTAGGAGGGACTAGGTATGCCGTGCTATTGGTACATGCCTTTCTATAACTTTTTTCTGGCTTGAATTTTTAAACATGCTTGTGCTCTGTGTTCAGCTGGTGGCCAGTCAACGGTCAACCTCGAAAGACCTTTGGATCATGATGGTGACCCTCTTGCCATTACTGCTGCTGATGCAGTTGCAGCCAGTGGAGTGCCCCCTTGGAACTGGAGAGAAACCCCTGTAAATGGTGTCTATCTAATTCTTTTTTTTGTTCTTCTTCTTTTTTTGATATGTAGAAACGGTATCTGTCAAATTTTGGTGGTGATGTTCAATCATTTTACATTTTCTGGCAAAGTATGTTTGAAAAAAATACTCATTCTTCTTAATGTACATTTTCCGGCAAAGTATCAAATTTTTTTTTTTTTTTTGTTGGGAAAAAGAATGACTTTAGTGGCTAGTGGAAAGTGTTTTTAATAGTTTTATTGAAGGCACGTACATTTTGGATTTTTGGGTCACTATTTTTTTGTGGGAAAAAGATTGGCATTGCTTCAAAACTACTGAATGTTTTACAAACCAAATCTATGTGTGTGGTGTGTAAAATATCCGGTAGTTTAGTAAGGGTCCGGTAGCAAAACTGTTTTTTGTGTGCCTTGCAAACATCTAATGCTACACTTTCATTGCTGGAGCTTCTAAGCCTTCACCTGTATGCATAGTGATCATTTTGCCTTTGACTTGATTCATCTTCTCACTATTTCAGTTTGAAACATGATGTTTCTTTTTATTTTTTTATTTTCATGGCAGGTGGTGAGGGCCACTCTGCCTATGGTGGGAGGGTCATAACAGTCAAGTGGGGTGAGCACATTAGAAGGATTGGTATTGATGGAACTGCAGCTAAGCCTTCACCTGTATGCATAGTGATCATTATGCCTTTGACTTGATTCATCTTCTCACTTAGGGTTGGTTTGAGATGTTCTAAAAAAGTACACTTTTTGACTTATTGGCTTATTTTGGTTGGGTTTGGGTTGGGTTTGATGTGATGTGTTAGAGAGGTGATGTGATTTAAATAAGATGATGTAACTTAAATAGGATAGTGACTTTTTGACTTTTTGTATTATTTAGGTTATGCCAAACTTGGCCTTATTTCAGTTTGAAACATGATGTTTCTTTTTATTTTTTTATTTTCATGGCAGGTGGTGAGGGCCACTCTGCCTATGGTGGGAGGGTCATAACAGTCAAGTGGGGTGAGCACATTAGAAGGATTGGTATTGATGGAACTGCAGATGCAATCAAGGAGGCAATCAGGTCTGCTTTTCGCTTACGAACTAAACGGGCATTTTGCTTGGAAGATGAGGATAATGTAATTCGGAGTCTTGACAGGAACATGCCTTTGGGAAATTACACTCTTCACCTTGATGAAGGTAAAAATGGACGTCCTTTTAGTTTTAACACATATCTGCAACTTTGGTAGCAAGGATTTGGTTAAGTGAGCTTTTATTTTTTATTTATTTTTCCCTCTCGTTTCTGTATGGTAGGAATCTCAATAAAAGTATGCCTCTATGATGATTCTGACCGAATGGCTGTTCGAACTGAAGACAAAACACTGTATACTGAAGATGAATTTCGGGATTTTCTCTCACGTAATGGCTTTACAGGTTTGAGGGAGATAAATGGCTATAGAACCTTTGATAATTTGGATGATCTCCGGCCTGGTGGAATGTACCAGGGGGTGAGTTCTGGGTGACTAGAGCTTTGTTATCTATGAATAAAGTGCTTAAAAATCATATATTAAAATCGGTTTTAGGCTCCCCCCCCGGGGGTCACAAAACAAGCTAGTGTAAATTCCATTACCATCTGAGTGATAGCATTGTGAATACATGCAATGTGGTCTCTTAGATGGGTGTCTTGTATTTTCCATGCTTGAGTTCATTTCATGGAAATTTTGTTTATTGACCATGATATTCTATGCTGTACCATACCATTAGGCCAATCCTTTGGTCTTGTGCATTGCTAGCTTACCTATGAGAAAATTGATAATGATTATGATGAGAATAGTGTAATGCTTTAGACAGGGTTAAGATGATGTCATGTGGAGCATTTTTTTTGGGTCAGTTTTCATATTCTGTTTTTTTCCTTACAATAATATCAGGTGTGTATGATCTCTGTAGCAGCTAGAAAAGTCTGGGAAATTGGAAGAGTAATTCCTTTGCGTACAATGAGTTGTGTGGATAAGAAAGTGGCAGTTTCTAACCTTCAAGAACTGATTATACGTTCTTTGTGTTCAAGAACAGTTTTTTTGGCTTTATGTTCTCTGTTTGTTTGACGATGATTGTAGCTTTTTGGGCAGTAGCTGCACTTATGCTAATATTACATTAGAGAATATAGAAATAGAGAGAAAATAGATATGCAGATTTGGATCAACAGAGGGAGGAGAAGCAACAAGGGCAGTGGTGGCAGAACAGTGATGCTTGCAATGCATGGAAGCAGAGTGCTTGAACAGTGAATGGTTAACAACAACTCAGATCTGGATCACTGAGGTTTGAATGATTGAAATAGATGTCGGTGGATGGCGGTTGAGGAAGTGCCAGCGAAGGTGGTGACAAGAGGCAGCAACTGAGAAGAGAACAGAGAATGAGAGACCGTACAGAGAGTTGTGGAGAGGAGAAAATATTATAGGGCTTTTAAAGGTTTTGAGATTGACCATTTACAACAAATTTTGTTTTTTTTAAATATTTTTATTCTTCTAAAATTAAAAAAAAAATCGAAGTAGCAAGCAAATTTTCAATGAATTAGAACTTAATCAAAAAACTTGAAGAGTGGTTTCTAATTTTCTCCTATTTAAAAACAAGTTACTCAAAATAAAAAAAGAGCCAAAAAAAAAAATTCGCAAAGAAGCTGATACAATAGATTACCCAAAAATAGAAAAAGAAAAAGAAAAAGAAAAGCCCTGATATGGTGGATTGGATAGAAGAAACACGTGATGTCATCACTTTGGTTGGTTTTTATTTTTTAAAAATAGTTTTTAGAAAATTTTACATTTTTATTTTTCGTATTTTTTTGTTTTTACTGAAATTTGTAAATATTTTATTTTTTAGACACATCTAACATAAATATATCTAAAAAGTAAAAAAATTGTAATTTTTTTTTTAAAATTCACTAAATACCAAAAATACAAAAAAAAAAAATACAAGAGTTTAATATATTTTTTATATTTTTATGTATTTCTTAATTTTTTAAAATATTTTTTCACAATTTTTTTACTTTTTAGACACATCTAAGTAAGGTGTATCTAAAAAAATAAAAAAATATTTAAAATTTTAAAAATATTTATTAAAAATAAAAAAATACGAAAATTAAAAAATTCAATTTTTAAAAATCTTAAAAAACTCAAAGCAAACACAGTGATTGAAATTAAGGGTGACGCAACCAGTCACGGGAGTATGAGGATCCTCTCCTTGCAGTTTCTGTGCTTGCACCTGTCTTTACAGGCCTTCGGATCTACTTTTAGGCTCAATTTTGATAATCTGAACTGTTCATATTTTATAATTTATTCAGTATATCATACCTGTAAAAAATCAAGTTGATCGGATATCAGAAATTATGTGTTCAAAAAATTGAACTAAAAACTATTTTTTAAAGAATTTAATAAACAGTTTTCCGAACATATGCTTTCTGATATCCGATCAACTTGATTTTTTACAGGTATGATATACTGAATAAATCATAAAATATGAACAGTTCGGATTATTAAAATTAGGCCTAAAAATAGACCCGAAGACCTGTAAGAACGAGCGCAACTACGAAGCTGCAAGGAGAGAACCTTGGCTCGTTGCTGAGTCCCTGATCTGATCTCTAAGCGAGTGGTCCCACTTTAAAAGTTCCGTATATTAATTCAACTCACGACACATCCGCCCACGTTCCCTCCTGTCCGTTTGTCTATAATATAACGTCCTAGCGAGTGGTCCCACTTTAAAAGTTCCGTATATTAATTCAACTCACGACACATCCGCCCACGTTCCCTTATGTCCGTTTGTCTATAATATAACGTCCTCCTCCCCTTATATATATATATATATATATAGCTTCCTAGTTGCATACACATTTCCCCATCGTGATCACTCTAACCTACCATTACCAACACCACTACTACTCTATCTCATTTCCACTTTGTTTGCGAAGACCATGGGCAAAATCAAGATCGGAATCAACGGTAAGTGATCTGATCTGTTCATCACATTTTCATTCGATCATTATGCATAACACAATACGATTTTGATCTGAGGTTATTTGTGTTGTGTTGTTTCAGGATTCGGAAGGATCGGCCGTTTGGTGGCGAGAGTAGCTCTTCAGAGCGACGATGTCGAACTCGTCGCCGTTAACGATCCGTTCATCACTACTGATTACATGGTAAAAATCACCATTTCTCTCACATTATTGATGATGATATCCATCATGATTATATGGATCGCTGGACTGTCTCGTTGTTCGCTATTTTTTTTTTTTTGACATTTAGTGTAAGAAACGCATCAATCAGTCGCCATTCAAATTCTGATCCATTGTAGTTTCAGTCTGAACTAACTATCTAGATGAATTGTTTTGCTCTAGCTTTTAATTTCCACATAGCTATATAATATGCATAAAAAATTTCCTAAGCAAATTAGCATTAAACTATCTAGATGAATTGTTTTGCTCTAGCTTTTAATTTCCACATAGCTATATAATATGCATAAAAAATTTCCTAAGCAAATTAGCATTAAACTATCTAGATGAATTGTTTTGCTCTAGCTTTTAATTTCCACATAGCTATATAATATGCATAAAAAATTTCCTAAGCAAATTAGCATTAAACTATCTAGATGAATTGTTTTGCTCTAGCTTTTAATTTCCACATAGCTATATAATATGCATAAAAAATTTCCTAAGCAAATTAGCATTAAACTATCTAGATGAATTGTTTTGCTCTAGCTTTTAATTTCCACATAGCTATATAATATGCATAACTTTTTTTTCTTCTTCTCTCTTTTTATCATGGACAATGGATTATTTGAACCCTGATAACCATTTCAGTGGCCCCAAGTCACCACTAGGCCATGAAATCAATTATTGGATATCCATCTTTTGTTAACTTGATTTTGATTTTGTGCTGTACAGACCTACATGTTCAAATATGACAGTGTTCACGGCCAATGGAAAAAGAATGAGCTTAAGGTTAAGGATTCCAAGACCCTTCTCTTTGGCGACAAACCTGTCACTGTCTTTGGTTCGAGGTATAAACTGGTTCTCCATCTTTATATTTCAATTTTTTAAAAATCACATCCTCTGATTATTGATTATATTTTCTTTGCTTGTTATTTAGAAACCCAGAGGAGATTCCGTGGGGTGAGGTTGGAGCTGAATATGTTGTTGAGTCCATGGGAGTTTTTACTGACAAGGACAAAGCTGCTGCACATTTGAAGGTTTGCCTTAATTTGCTGCTCTCTTAATATGCATTTTGGCTCATGCACACATATTTGAATGATATTGTTGATGAAATTCATCTGTATTGATGTCTGATAATAACTTTTTCATGAAAGTGTTTCATGTTGAATTTGTTTTCATGTTTGGCTACGTTGACCTTAGGTATTATTATTATTACATTCATAATCTAATCTTGTAATTGCTTCATATAATACTTGTTCTGGTGCAATCTCCTGCACATAAATCTGAATGTTCTTTTGCACATTATGCTCAGTGGACATTGTCGAGGGTCATTTTTAAAATTTTATTTATTTATTTTGTTGGTTGGTTGATGTTAATCAGTATTGCCCCGTTTTTTGTTTGATTGCCAGGGTGGTGCAAAGAAGGTTGTCATTTCTGCTCTGAGTAAGGATGCTCCAATGTTTGTTATGGGTGTCAATGAGAAGGAATACAAATCAGATATTGACATTGTTTCCAACGCTAGTTGCACTACCAACTGTCTTGCTCCATTGGCGAAGGTTGCTTTTGTACTTGGTTTCAGTTTATATCATAACAAAAGACTGGAATTCCTATCTTATGTTTCTTGCATATAAATCGCTACAGGTTATTAATGACATATTTGGCATTGTCGAAGGCCTCATGACCACAGTGCATTCAATTACTGGTACTACTCATTTTCCTTTTTTCTTTAGATAAAGTGAACTTTTTTATCTTATTTTTTCATGCCTTTCAGCAACACAAAAGACTGTTGATGGTCCATCAATGAAGGACTGGAGAGGTGGAAGAGCTGCCTCTTTCAACATTATCCCTAGCAGTACTGGAGCTGCCAAGGTATTCAGATGATTTGTGTCTATGGAATGAATTGCAGTTTTATTTAAATAATTTGTAGATGGCAGAATGCTTTGCATATCTATGTTTGGTATCACATAGCATAGGCAGTAGAGTAGGATATTTATTTCAATGTTGGACACGTGATAAAAAAAAGAAAAAAAGAAAATTCTATTAATTATTTTATTTTTATCTGCATTTTGTTTGTACGAGGCAGTGTGATGTTTTTTCTTTATCATGACCTTTTGTGTGTGTGCGCATGAAGGCTGTGGGGAAAGTTCTGCCTGCACTAAATGGAAAGCTGACTGGAATGGCTTTCCGTGTTCCCACCGTGGATGTCTCAGTGGTTGACCTCACTGTGAGGATTGAGAGGAAGGCTTCCTATGATGAGATCAAAGCTGCTATCAAGTAAGGATAATTTACTCTAGAATTTCTTTAAAAAAATTTAACAAATTAACTGAGAGAGAGCCAAGTAACGGATTATGTGATCCATGATCCCTTTTGGTTTGTAATTGTTTTGTAGGGAGGCTTCGGAGGGTAGTTTGAAGGGAATCCTCGGTTACACTGAGGATGATGTAGTGTCAACCGACTTTATTGGTGATTGCAGGTAAGGAGGTGTATACTGTTTATCATATTTAATGGATAACTTTTCCCAATGGCTGATTCATTTTTTATTTTTTTGTCATTTTGAGATAGTTTGTTCTGTGATTGTAAAACTGTCCCTTGGCAAGTGTGCAATACTTTGAAACTCTTTGTTTGTATATGAATGTTTTTATATTGATAACGAAACCAAACCAAGCTTTAAGTCCCATCAAATAAGGTCGGCTACCTGAATCTTTCTTCTCTTCTCTACACGGCTCTATCAAAGGCTATTTCGTTGGTCAAATTAAGTATATTTACATCTCTATTTACAACGCTAGCCAACGTTAATCTAGGCCTATCCCGTCCCCTAACACTTCCATCTACCGTTACAGCATCACATCGCATCTCTTCACTATTGCCTCTGTTAGTCTCCGTTGAACATGACTAAATTTTTTCAATCGATTCTCTCTCAATTTATCTTCTATCGATGCTATTCCTACCTATTTTCGAATACACTCATTCCTAATTTTGTCTTGTCTAGTTTTGCCACATATCCACTTTAGCATCTTCATCTCAGCCACACTCATCTTACTTATATGTTGTTTCTTAGTTGTCCAACACTCCATCACATACAACATCGCTGGTCTAATAGCCGTTCTATAGAATTTACCTTCTAGTCTAATGAGTATTCGTTTATCGCACAGTACCCCAGACGTACTTCTCCAATTGCACCGTCCCGCCTTAATTCTATGAGCCATATTTGCATCAATCTCCCCCGTTGTTATGATAATCGATCCTAAATAACAAAAATGTTTACTCTTAGGCAGTTTTTGGTTCTCAATCTTCACTTCTCCTTTGCTTTCATTGTGACTGTTATTAAATTTACACTCCATGTACTTTGTCTTAGTTCTGCTTATACGGAATTCAAACCTTTAGATTCAAGAGTTTTTCTACAAATCTCTAACTTTGTGTTAACTTCTTCTCTAGTCTCATCCACTAGCACGATATCGTCTGCAATAAGTTACATCACGGCACGTCATTTTGAATATTTGTCGTCAACTCATCAATAACTATCTTTTATATGGATGGAATATGTAATTATTTTTTTCTCTCTTCTTCTTCTTTTATTTATTTATTTATTTTTATTTATTTATTGTTGCTGCAGTTGAATAATGCAATTCACTTTGTAAATTAATCTTTTGGCAGGTCCAGCATTTTTTATGCCAAGGCTGGTATTGCATTGAATGAGAACTTTGTGAAGTTTGTCTCTTGGTATGACAACTTTGTGAACTTTGTGAACTTTGTGAAGTTTTTCAGGTTAGTACTTCCAGGAGAAATATCTCATTTGTTTGTTTTAGTTTTAATTATGTGACGGGGATGTGTGGAGATACCTTTTTGTCCATAATTTCTAACATTTGTTTATCTGTTGCAGAAACCGGGTGATTGACTTGATTCGACACATGGCCTCTGCTTAATGAGCTTCTTTGGCGCTGATCCCGAGCATACCATGAAGATTAGTACTGTTCCTTGGTTAGGGAGTTCAGTTTGGAATGATTTTGCTGTTCAAACACTATACCAATATTTGACAGAAGTTAAAGAGCGATGTCTTCTTGCGTTTTTTTGGGGGTTTCAAAATTAAAATTGCCCCATGTTTTGTTTAGTGCAGATTCAGATTCTGCCATTATTTCTATGTTGGTGCGAATCCAAACCTGAGGTTTTTAGTAATAATTGAAGGCTTTGCCTTTCACTTTTTTGCTTGAAAATCTTTCCATTTGGTATTTTCCTGCTTTGCTTTATTTTTTGGAGTTTATTTTCTAATTGCTCTTTACATAAATTTCATATCATTTCCTTTGCATAGCATTGCTCCAGACTGAATGTTGCAGCAGTGGTAACAATGTAACAGTAGTATGTACTTTCCGTAGATTGCTTGGTTTTTCTGTTTTTTGTTTTTTTTGAGAGCCACGTAGATTGACATAATTACGTGAGTCATCATTTGGTAAGTACTTTCTTAATTAGTTTTTTTTTTTTGAATTGGGATTTTTTTTAAGTAAAAGCTTATTGCAATGGACTTTTTTGATTTTTTTTTTAATTTTTATGAAAAAAAAATTATTTAAATGTAATATTTTATGTTATTAACTTTTTAAATTTATTTTATCTTTTAATGACTAATTTAGCCCCAATCTCTTTAGCCAAACAATTCTACTTCCTCCCTATAAAAGTGTTAATAGGAGGGAGAGACACACAATGTGCATGAAATATGAATTTACTGGAATAAAACCCTTCACTAATTGCATCCAACATGACAGATACATTATCACAATTTCTTCTAATTAAAAACATGCGGCCTCATCTAGAAAAATCTGACATAAAGTGGATTGCTATGTGCAGGTTGCCCCTCTTATTATCATTATTTTTTTCTTTTACCAAGAATTTAACAATGTGACAAAATCAGATCAGATAACAGATTCATGTATTTCACCATTTTTGATAAGCAGCAGCCTTTATTGAAATATGGGGGGATATCTATCAAATATTGCAATGGTTGTATTTCCCCCCAGATGTTCAAAAGCTAAGTGTATTCCATAACCAATGTTCTAAAAGTAGTAATTCATTTTCAATATAACACTACAAAATAAAGCCTCCCAAAAGAACTTGTTCAGGTCTCAAATGTGCAAGAGAAGACATCTAGTAGAATGTAATAATATGCCACACAAAGCAAGTAAACTGTGAGGCATCAGCAATAATCCAAAACCCGAATGTCATGCACCAACAAGCCCTACAAGTAAAGAAAAAAGAGGAACAATCAAAATCTATAAAATAAAGCCAACAAGCAAAGCAGTGATGCCCTAAAGGTAATATTACATCAGGAGCTTGAATTCAAGTACACAGATGACCAGAGTAATAGCTATTGCATAAACAGAATGTTCAGGAGAAATCAAGGGGGGAAATCTTGAAAATAAAGTAAGTAATCTGACAAACAAAAGACACACTCACTCTTTGCGACCGCTTTCTCAGGTTAATATAATGTAGCTAGTTGCCCTTAAAACTAAAAAGAAGCCATTCCACTAAACTAGAAACCCAGGTTGGCAAAATGTCAATTTATTTATGGGTCATAATTACTCAATCTACAAACATTATCAGCAAAATTCTAACAAGAACATACTTCTTCATAGAATAAAAATCCAAAGTACATGTATTTCAAGGTAAGGGAGATTAGTCTTTCATAACAAATTTCAAGTGTTATGCATGCTGAAAATTAATGCATACATTGCAATGTTTTAAGAACTGGTGACTGGACCTAGTTCCGGTCCGGAAGATCTTCAAAAACCAGACTAGGCCAAAAACCGGCCTTGTTTGTAAAAACCGGTGGCTTAACCAGTAAAACCGGCGAACCGGTGCCGGTTCTCGACCAACCCGTTGGTTTTTTTTTTTTAATTCTTTTTAAAAAAAATTTCTTCTTTTCTTTTCTCTTTCTTTCTTTCTTATATATATATATATACATATATATATATATATATATATATCAAAATTTTAACTAAAAACTCTCACTTCAAGAGTTTTCTCTCATAAGGAGTCTCATTAGAAACTTGAAGAAATTATGAAAGTTTATTCCTATTTATAGGAAAAAAATTGTTCAAAAAGAACCTAAAAATTCAACGTAGGATTTAATCAAGTTGTTTGAATCATATTTGATTAGTGGGAAAGTTGAAAATTTCGTTTCCCTCCAAAATTAAATCTAACATTCAATCAATTTATTTGGAGGGAATATTTAATTTTTTAAATTTCTTTAAAACTAGTCTTCTTCTTCTTTTTTTTATATCAATTATGACTTTATTAAATATTTTTAGTAAATATTATGCAACACTTTTTTTTTATCATTATTTTAGTAATTATATATGTTTTTATTTATTTATAATTATAATTATATAATATTAATTATGACGTCACGGTTCAACTGCTTCGACCTGACGGTTGAATCGGTGATCCGTCCACACGGTCCCTTTTCGGTTTGCTCACCGGTCCGGTTTTAAAATATTGATAGATTTTATCAAACCTTACAGGAATGAAGTTAAATAATTAAAAATTCTTTATGGAAATATTTGACTAATAATTAGCAGAAAGAAAAGATCTTAGAATCTATAAGAATACCACGCATCAATTAATATTCATTTTATTTCCCATCATTTTCTAATATCACTTTTTGAGGGTGTAACACATGCCTAGACGTACTGGCTGTCTTAAACTTCCTAGACAAGCTTCCATATAAGTGACAGACTAATACATAATATACATTGGCAAAACCCTTCCACATCTTCTCAGTTGAATTTAGACATTCCAGATTCATAGTGAATTAAGGAGAATAATCCAACTATGCATCAAACCAAGTATTTCATTAGGTTACCAGTTTGTAAGTCCAAACTTACCTAATAAATCCATCAAATAATGCTTCCCATTGTACAACTTGTAAAATGATTCAATTACTAATATGCTAAAATAATTTTAAATTGGAACCGATTTTAACCTGTAACGAATCAAGAATATAAAACAATACCTCGCTATAGAGATGTCAATCTTAAGCCAAAAATTCAAGACATCAGAGATGCAACCATGTCTATACTGAAATGATAAGAAAGCCTGCAAATTCAAATGCACCGAACAGCCAAAAGGAAAAAAGATGAAATTGATCCACAGCCCACTTTCTCACCATGGTCGGACCCACTAATACCAGAGGGAGGGTACAGGACACATTAAAAAGGGAATGAATTTGGCAGGCCCCAAGACTATGGCATAGTAAGTAGCTACAAGTCCAAATGTTAAAAGCCGAAGGCCAATGACACTAGCTAACCAACTGAGAGAGCTCCCCTAAATGGGATGATGGTAGTTGCCCCCCCTCCCCCTTTTGGAACATATGCATGTTTCAATACACTTATTGAACCCAAACTTTTCGCACTCCTTTCTCTGAGTCAAGTATTTCGCTTGCTTAGTAAAGTTTTACTAAGTTAATGGTGGTAAAGGCGTGAAGGAAGCCACCTTACCTTGTTTACCCCCTCAAGTTCTTTAATTTGAAAAAGGCTTCTATGCCCACCTTTCTTTATGCTGAAGGCTGGTTGAAATGATTTCAATCTTTCCCTGTTACTACTTTTATTATGCATTCATATATAATGAAGAAGACAACTGCATGCACACAAACGATTAAGGCAGAGCAACTCCATCACCCACATAAGCTCATGATGAAAAGAGGACTTCCACCTATCACGGGTTTTAGTCACCATTTTGTATCACAGGGTACATAGCAAGAAATTACTTGCTATCATTAACTCCTTAACAATTATCTCCAAACAAGGAAACCAATCATAAATATCCATGTAGGCGAGTGATACAAAACAATGACAACAAATTGGTGTCTAATAAAAAACCTATCATGAAATGACACTTCAATACAGATTGAAATCAAACCGGGTGCCAACAGCCCATTCCAGATGCATTTCAGCAAAGAGTTCAAATTAATCGTAAGAAAGGGCACAACCAAAATGGTCTTCGACCATTGGATAATCTGTATAAAGTTAAAGCCCATCAATACTAAATTGTTTGTAGCCATAAAATAATCACTAGCAACAAGAAGTTATCCACAAAGCTGGACAAGTACATTTATACTTCAATTATAGGTCACAGAATCTGGAACTAGAGTTATAGCCACATCAATGGCATCAGGTAATTTAAGGAGGACAAGAACCTAACAAACATGAATAAGGTGCCGAATCAACCTGAACTCAATTATAATCACTGTAACAAGGCCATAAACACCAACTTCAAGCATTCATGAGTTTTAAACTAAAACTAGGGTTATTGAACATACCGATTCAGTGACCAACCATGGAAGGATTGAGCCCCAACAACATGTTATTTCCATTAGGCAGGTAGGCGACATTTGGAGTTTTCGCCAAGGTCGAAGCTATCTCCCTCGAGGCCTCAATCTTCCTGAGATCGATCAAACCCATTCCAGCAGCAGCAGTCGCTTCAGAAATCAGCTTTGCAGACTCGCTCTCTCCTTCCGCCCTAATAATCGCCGCCCTCCTCTCCTGCTCCGCTTTCGCCACAACGAATTTCGACCGCTCCGCCTCCTGCTGCGCCACCTGCTTCTGCTCCACTGCCTTCGAGAACTCAGCCCCATACGACAAGTGCGTTATCGCTACATCATCAAGCACGATGTTGAAGTCCTTCGCGCGACGAATCAAGCTGTCGCGGACCAAAGCCGAGATGTGAGGACGATCAGTAAGAAGCTGATCGGCGTTGAATTGAGCAACAACAGCCTTCAACACTTCGTTGCCGATCGAAGGGAGGACTTTCTCGTCGTATTCGAGACCTAGGGTTTGGAAGATTCTGGGGAGTTGAGTGACCTCGGGGCGAGAGAGAAGACGAAGAGTGAGGTTGACCATTTGGAGATCTTTGGTGCCGGAGATGGAAGAGAAGGTGTGGGGACGAGTTCGGATGTCGAAAATGTAGGGTCTCTGGAGCCATGGGACGAGGAAATGGGTTCCTTCGCCGACGGTCTCATCGATGACGCCGCTAAATCGATCGAAGAGGACGGCGCGTTGGCCACCGTCGACGGTGTAGAGGGAGGAGTTGAGGACGGTAGCGCCGAGACCGAGGCCGAACGCCGCCCGGGCTAGGTTGGTGAGGAAGGACATTGCTGCTTGGCTGCTACCCATCTATGGAGGAAATTGTAGAGAGAGAAAGGCCGTGGAGAGGAGAGAGAAAGAGCCAGCATCTTGTTTGTCTTTCGGTTTTCGCCAGAAGAGAGAGAGAATTAGAAAATTTGGGTTTGTCCGGCGGACGGCCAAGGCGAGGCTGCCGCCCGCCGGGTGCTCAATTTTGCCTATTAATTTAACGAATTATGTCATTTTAGTCCAATAAATAACGGTTGTTAAGTTTGGTAGACGAAAAGTCAAACTATGTGTCAATTTGGTCCCTGTAGTTTACACAATGTGTCAATTTGGTCCCTGTCAAAATTGAGCAAATTAAAATAAGAACCAAATTGACACATTGTGTAAACTACAAGGACCAAATTGACACATTGTGTAGACTACAAGGACCAAATTGACACATTGTGTAGACTACAAGGACCAAATTGACACATTGTGTAGACTACAAGGACCAAATTGACACATTGTGTAGACTACAAGGACCAAATTGACACATTGTGTAGACTACAAGGACCAAATTGACACATTGTGTAGACTACAAGGACCAAATTGACACATTGTGTAGACTACAAGGACCAAATTGACACATTGTGTAGACTACAAGGACCAAATTGACACATTGTGTAGACTACAAGGACCAAATTGACACATTGTGTAGACTACAAGGACCAAATTGACACATTGTGTAGACTACAAGGACCAAATTGACACATTGTGTAGACTACAAGGACCAAATTGACACATTGTGTAGACTACAAGGACCAAATTGACACATTGTGTAGACTACAAGGACCAAATTGACACATTGTGTAGACTACAAGGACCAAATTGACACATTGTGTAGACTACAAGGACCAAATTGACACATTGTGTAGACTACAAGGACCAAATTGACACATTGTGTAGACTACAAGGACCAAATTGACACATTGTGTAGACTACAAGGACCAAATTGACACATTGTGTAGACTACAAGGACCAAATTGACACATTGTGTAGACTACAAGGACCAAATTGACACATTGTGTAGACTACAAGGACCAAATTGACACATTGTGTAGACTACAAGGACCAAATTGACACATTGTGTAGACTACAAGGACCAAATTGACACATTGTGTAGACTACAAGGACCAAATTGACACATTGTGTAGACTACAAGGACCAAATTGACACATTGTGTAGACTACAAGGACCAAATTGACACATTGTGTAGACTACAAGGACCAAATTGACACATTGTGTAGACTACAAGGACCAAATTGACACATTGTGTAGACTTTCCGTCAACTTATTTTGTCCGATCAACTTATTTTTTCCACATGTACACCTTAAAAAATTGACAAATATTTCAAAATTATTAATTTTAATCTCCAATTTGGATAGACATACAAAATTGAAATTACACTAAAGTGTAGGGACCAAATTATTCAATTTAAAACTATAGAAACTAAAGTAAAATTTGAATCAAATTACACAAGTAAAAAGTGTAATTAACCTTTATGATATTAACACTACAAAATGTCACAACTTACATATAATATACCCTTTTAGAGGGCATCTATTGTAGAAGGATCAAAGTTTTAAGTACACCTTAGGAAAACACTCATATATCAATTCATGTGCCTGCATTTCACGAGGAAAATATAAAAGGGTAGTTGCCTTGGATGCTTTCTCTTTCTTTTCATCTCATGTGTGTGTGAAGTTGCTTTTGTATTTACAGTTACAATTTCGATGAACGCAGCTTAAAACACTCTACAGAAAAGGAAGAGAGAAAAAGAAAGTTTATTTTCACATTAGAATTCAAAATTTGATTGGCTTTTTGGCACAGAGTTTTCTCGCTTTTAACAACAATTGACAAAACTTGACTCTTAAAAAAGTTTTAAACCTCTGTTATTGCCACACCAAATACAACCCTCCTATCACCACCGCCACCACCCTGAACTTTGCTAGCTATGTACCACCCAAAAAACCAAACAAACACCTTTAAAATATCCAAAATAACCCCAACAATATCCCTCCAAATCTCTTTCTCCATATTTACCCTCCAATTCCTCACCTTGCCCTAGTGTAGGCTGAAATTTCACTTAGTGGGATCATTCAGCAAGTCATTATTGTTGTGCCTAGGAGGCAGAAAACAATCACACACAAGCACACAAACAAGAATACACAAAGATTTACGTGGTTCGGCCAATCACCTACATCCACTGGTAGCAGATTTCACTATATGAAGAGAAATACAAAATTACAACAATGGAGAAGGAGACACTACTCTCTCAACTCTTGCTCACACTCTCCCTTGTTGCTTACACTCTGTAATCCCCACACTCTCTGATTTCACCACACAAAACTTCTCCCATTCACTATCCATTTATAGATCAATAAGAGAGCCAAGCTACCGATAACATTAAAGGCAACCACCAACAAGGTTAGCCACCCTACTATGAGTAGCTCGGTTGAATGTCTTGCTTTTTCATTTTTTCTTCAATTAGCAGTTGTCGTTGACAAAGCAAATCTGAGTCAATCTTCAACAAATCTCTACATTGGCGAGGATTATCTATCCAACATAGTGATCGATCAACATTGCCATGCACCTGAAGGTGCTTAGTTCCGAGAAATGTTGACCAAGTCCAAACAGTGTTGGAACTTGATCCTATAACCCACTTTTGTGAGCATATCGGCTGGATTATTTGCAGTGCTAATCTTTTAAAGCCGAATATCCCCTTCATTCACAATTTCTCAGACAAAATGGAAACGGACATCAATGTGCTTGGTGTGGGAATGATGAACCAGGTTCTTTGCCAAACAAATGGCACTCTAACTGTCTCAGTACACCTCAATGTGCTTCTGAACAATACCCAAGTCCTCAATCAACCTATGTAGCCAAATAGCTTCCTTAAAGGCTTTTGTCAGTGCCACGTACTCTGCCTCTGTAGTAGACAAAGCCACCGTTGACTGAAGCATTGACTTTCAACTCGTCGGCCCTTTAGCAAGCATAAATAAATACCCTGTTGTTGACCGGCGTTTGTCCAAGTCACTAGCATAATCTGAGTCCACATATCTAACCAGATTCTGTCAGAGTCTATGATCTCTCTCGAACTTCAAACCCATATTAACTGTGCCATGTAAGTACCTCAAGATCTACTTCACTGCCTGCCAATGACCTTTTCCTGGATTATGCATATATCTGCTTACCATACTCATAGCATGTGAGATGTCAGGCCTTGTACAAACCATAGCATACATTAATGCACCGACTGCATTTGCATATGGAACCTATGCCATATGCTTCCGTTTTTCTTCTGTGCGTGGAGACATCGAAACACTAAGCTTGAAATGAGGGGCCAATGGTGTACACACAACTTTTGTTTTCCAATTTATGCCAAATCTATCTAACACCTTTTTCAGATACTGGGTTTGCATCAAACAAACTGTGTCCTTCTTCCTATCTCTTTTGATCTCCATGCCAAGAATTTTCTTTGCTTTGCCAAGATCCTTCATTCCGAACTCTCCTGCCAACTGTGCCTTGAGTTTGTCAATCTCTAATTTATTCTTAGATGCAATCAGCATATTATCTACATATAAGAGCAAATAGATGAACGAACCATCAGAAAGTTTACAAAAATATACACAATGATCATACTGACTTCTTGTGTATTTCTTTTTCGTTATGAACCGATCAAATCACTTGTACCACTATCTTGGGGATTGCTTTAACCCGTACAATGATTTGTTCAACTTACAGGCCCAATTCTCTTTTCCATCAACTTTGAAATCATCTAGTTAGGACATGTATATCTCCTCTTCAAGATCTCCATGTAAAAAGGCAGTTTTGATATCGAGTTGGGCGAGCTCGAGATCAAACTATGCAATCAAAGCTAGCAAGATATGAATAGACGTGTGCTTCACAATAAGTGAAAATACCTCATTGTAGTCTATTCCTTCCTTTTGGGCATAGCCTTTAGCTACCAATCGAGCTTTGAATCTGATGTTGTCTCTACCTGGGATGCCTTCTTTCTTGGTTTAAACCCACTTACACCCAATTACTTTCTTGGCCTTTAGAAGTTGCACCAATTCCCAAGTCTGGTTCTTATGGGGTCTCCTGATCTCTTCATCCATAGCCTCCTTTCATTTGACGCTTTCTACATTCTGCATAGCTTCTTTGAAAGTGCAAGGAATATTGTCTTCAATGATTGGAAGTGCATAGGCCACCATATCGATCATCCAACTGGATTTCTTAGTAACCCTGTATCCTTTTCTTATTGCAATAGGTTTCGATTGTTGTGAGGCCTCTGGATCTTCATTTTCATTTGAACTCTCTTCAGAATCTTCTTCAGAGCTACCAACTAAAACTTCTTCAGGATTGTTGCCTGTCTAAATAGTCTTCGCTGGAGTGTCAAACTCCACTTGTACTAGCTTCTTCAATGCTTCATCATTCTCTTAAGGATTTGGTTGCTTCAACATTGTAGACTCATCAAAAGTAACGTCTTTTTTAGTCACAACTTTCTTTGATTCAGGACACCAAAGTCTATATCCTTCAACACCCTCACTAAAGCCCAAAAAGATAGCTTTCTTGGCTCTAGGATCCAACTTAGATTCTGTAATATAGAAATAGGCTGGACATCCGGAGATACGTAGCCGATCATAATCAGTAGCTAGCACTCCTGACCATACCTCCATGGGAGTCTTGCCATCTAGTGTTGCAGCAGGTAGTCTGTTGACAAGATGACGAGCATAGTTCAAAGCCTCGTCCCAAAAAGCATTGCTCAATCCTGAATGTGACAGTATACACCAGACTTTCTCCACCAAAGTGCGATTCATGCATTCTGCAACTCCATTTTGCTGTGGCGTTCCACTAATTGTGAAATGTCTCACTATCCTTTCATTTTGGCAAACCTCGAAGAAGGGATCTGATGTGTATTCGCCGCCATTGTCAGATCTGAGCTTCTTAATCTTCCTGTTTGTCTGGGTCTTAATCATTTTCTTCTATGTAAGGAAGATGTCTAATACCCCATCTTTATACTTCATTGTGTAAACCA